CTGGGGCCCCAAGACTAGGAATGGCGCAGGGCCCAAACTAGGAGTATAGAACGGCGCGAGGGAGGGATGGAAGGGTGAATGTGGCTTAGGGAGTCCCAGCGCCGAGAGCTGCGCTATAAACTTACCCCAAGAGGCCTGAGGATAGTAGTGCAGGCTAGGAGAGTTAGCCGGTGGTGCAGGCCCAGGGAAGCAGAGAGAGGTGAGGGCGGGGCCAGGATCAGAAGTGGTGCTCCTGGAGCCCAAGAAAGGGACTGAGTTGGTCTGGGTGAGAAGGATCAGGAAGCAGTATTGGTTCCCCAGGTGCCTGGGGCCCCAAGACTAGGAATGGCGCAGGGCCCAAACTAGGAGTATAGAACGGCAGGAGGGATGGAAGGGTGAATGTCAGCCCTGTGGATTTTTGAAATCATGAATCAAAACAGTTATAGGTCAGTGGGATGACTCAGCAGGTAAAGAGGCTTGCTGCCAAGCCTAATGACCTTGAATTCAATCCCTGGATCCACAAAGAGGAAGGAGAGAACCAAGTCCTGGAAGTTGTCCTCTGACCTCCACATGTACACGCGAACACACACACACACACACACACACACACACACACACAAGAAAATACAATAAAAACAAAAAAAATGCTTATGTTTAATACTATTTTGTGTCTTTTCCAAAGTGACCTGAGTCTAATCTCTAGAATCCACATAAAAACTGGGTACCTTGGTACACACTTGTAATTCCAACACTGGAGAGGTGGAGAGAGGTACATACCTGGGCCTCGCTGTCTAAGTCAGTCTAGATGAATCAGCGAGTCCTAGGTCAATGAGAGACTCTGTCCTCTCAAACAAGGCAGATAACTCCTAAAGCACAACACCCATGGTTGACATGTCTCCACATGCATGTGCACATATGCACTCACAGAAATATGCACACACACAAAATATTTTTCTCTCAGCGAATTCTCCCCTTTTGTGTTGAGATTGTTGTAAGGATCAAAGGTAATGATGGATGTAGAAGTTTTAGACAGATCATAAATTTGCAGGGGTCTAAGCTGGAGGAGAAGGTTGGCCGATCAGCAGAGGTCACAGGAGGAGAGCAGACTTTAGGGAGTAGGCTGGCCAATGTGGTGACTCCTACTTGAATGAACCACAGGAAATAATTGCTTTATTCAGGTAAAAAATTATTGGATATCAACAATTTTACATTGATGGACTCGGCACACAGAGAGGTAGCAAGATGTGGCAGGAAGAGAAGGGAACTCCGAGGGAGAAGAACTGAACTGGAGTCTCAGCAACCCCAGCAACCAGAGTTGGCTCTGGATGAGCAGCTTGCCTCTTGGGACCTCAGTTCCTTACATCTCAGGAGAGGAAGTGAAATCACACCTTTTCTGAGTTACTTTTCAGGTATAACACACAGTATTTCTTCAGCCTATCTTACTATGTGGCAGTGTCAGAGCGTCAGCAAACTTATATCCCCATTTGGACAATGGATATTACTCAGCATAAATCCATGTAGACTTGATTAATATAAGCCTTAAGCTCTCTGGAGTCTAAGGCCAAGTGAGGAGAGTACACTTTCTAGTGCACTTCCTGGAAGGCATGTGAACTGTCTGAAGTGCGCATTCTTAGCCTTGGCTGCATTTTGCAATCATGTCCTTTCACATCTATGAAATCCAGTTCCTACAACTACATCTCCATGATTCTGTGAGTATGCCTCACTCAAGATCACAGAGCTGATAAATAAAATATACAAAGCCCACCAGGATCTTGGGCTTTGCTTCTCTCCATTATTTCCTGCTCCCTCTTGTTGCCTGTGGAGTCTGTGGGCCAGTTTCACCAAGAAACAATTTGTCAAGTTTGCAGCATTGTACCATAGCTTTGAAACTTCATGTATCTGGTAATAAGTGACTTCTCTGGACTGTGGCTTGTCTCTGTCACCCTTGCACCTCATCTCTCCCATGACTGCAGGTAACTAACTGTGTGCAACTTGGTCTCTCTCATTTTGGAGCTGACTACATCTTTCTTTTCACTTTCGAGCCCACAGCATGGTTTCTAGTGATTAACAGGACCCCAGTAAGCACCTGTGGATGACTGAATCCTCTTGGAAGAAAACTGGCTTGAACATAGATTCACAGTATAGCATAAACACCACCGCTAATGATTTAAGCCATGGGCAATCTATACAGGTGCTACTTCTATTACTTTACTTCACAAGTAGACAATGGTTACAAATTCCTAGTTAATATCACAGCATGAAGTCAAGTTTTATTCTAGACAGCAATAAAGCAGGACCCATCACCAGGCTTTTGGTTTCTGAGCTTCTATAAGCACTGTGGATATCCAGGCTGTGATGATTTTAAAATATTGAGTATCTTGTTCTTGAGAAAGCTTTTAAAGACTTAATTTTATTTTGAATTACATGTATACATGTCTGTCTATGTGGGCGGATTGTGCACGGGAGTTCAGGTACCCACAGAGGCTGGAAGAGGCGATCTGACCCCTTGGAGCTGGAGTTACAGGTGGTTATTAGCTACGTGACATGGGTGCTGAGTCCTCTGCAAGAACAGTATGAACCCTTAGCCACCAAAGCCATCTCTCCAACACCTAGAGAACTCTTTTGAAGACAATTAAAATAATGTTTTTCATGTCCATATAAAATATTTAACTGTTTTTTAGTGTCTCCTCTTTTTCTCATATTTTATAAACTGACCATATCACCCTGACCATATAGGCTGTATTTGACTGATGTTTGAAAAGGGTACAATGGATGAATATTTGTTGAAAAGCTACCCTGCCTTATGTATCTTAGGAAGGTCAGATTCCCTTCAGAATCAAGCCCTGCACTTCCTTATGGGTGTTTAACACACATGATGTTCACTAGTGTGTCTTTGCTGATGTGACTAATGCCCCTCAACTACTGGGTGTAAAATCTTCATTTTCTTAAGAATGAAGATACAAGAGGGCTAGAGAGCTCAGCAGTTAAAAGCACTGGATGAGCTTGTAGAGGACCCAGGTTCCATTCCCAGCACCCACATGGTGGCTAACAACCATCCGTAACTCAAGTTCCAGGGGGATCTAATGCCCTCTTCTGACCTCCACAGACACTGTATGACATGGGTGCACTTATATACATGCAGGCAAAACAGTCATAACATTAAAAAAAGAATAAAGATACAGGGCTGGATGGAGCTCACCTACCATGCACAAGGCCCTGGGGTTGGTCCCTAGTACCATGTCAAACTGAAAGTGGTGGTATATGTCTGTCATTCCATCATTCAGGAGGTAGAGACAGGAAGATCAGAAGATCAAGGACATCCTTGGCTACATTTGAGGTGAGCCTGGGCTACATGAAACTCTGTCTCAAAACAAAACATCAAACAAGGAACCAAAAAAAACAAACAAAGAATAAAGAGATAAATGTCACATTCCCAGCATACCTTGTATACAAAGCATGTTGAACAAAGCTATAAAGTGATTGGATTTAATGTCTGCTTAACAAGGTGGAGCTCATACCTGACACTGCTATCAGGCCTAGGAACCCGTGGCTAGGCAGGACACAGGCCATAGGAGAACCAGTAGGATCATTCTGCTAAATAGACATAGCATTTTATTCTTTTATTTTATTTTTAAATATTTTATTATTTATTATTTATTTATTTATTTATTTATTTATTTTCACAGCTGATAGTGGATTTATTTGCCAAGTGCACAAATAGAGTAAGGGCCCCATCTGCTGACGCTAGTTCAAACAGTAGACGTTAAGAGATCGCTAGTTCAAACAGTAGAAGTTAAGAGAAGATTATGTTGATGCCCTGACTTCCTTTCCATGTCTAGGTGGCCCACCACGCTAAGGAAAGCCTGTTGTCCTGGAGCATGACTGCATTACTGCTCCTAGGCAAAAGGGGCTTCCATGACTTCATGTCCTCAGGCTTGTTTATTCTGTTTTAAATCAGCTGAACTGCTCCAGAAACAACAAGGCGTCCAATGGTTTTGTATCAAGTGTTGCAACCCCTCCTCCAAGTCAACAACATAGTCCCTCTGCTCATCTGCTTCTGGTTCTACTAGTATGTTTTCTTGTTGTTCTTTCAGAAACACTTATGAATCTATATCTGGTTTGGGAACTGCCCTCAAGAGGTCCACTTTCTGCATGTTGGGAGGCATGTGCTTTAAGGCAACATTTTTAAGATGGGTCTCTGTGTGATCCATATACTCTTTGGTTAAGACAAACTCTTCGGGAGAGAGGCCAGAAGGCTCCTCAACAGAAAGTATTTTCTCCTTTTCTAGGATATGAGAGAAAAACTTCTCTATCTTCATGAGTCAACACCTCAAGTAGCTGCTAAGGACATAGCAGATCCTCTCCATTTCCATTGGATGGATGCTGATCTTCAGATCCCCACTTTTGGCTCTTCTGAGATTTTCTTCCATGTGTTCTAGCTGTTCCATGACACATTAAACAATCTCTGACTTGCTTTCCAGCAGTCAGAAAAGTAAACTTTTCATTCATCCAGGCCTGCTCCAGCCTTTCGATGAGCTCTGCGGGAGTGAGGACCACCTCCTTCCTACCCGCATCTGAGTCCTGTTCCTGGAGATCTGCTCTTGGCCATCGCTTCCGAGCCAGGAACCTCGCAGCCGGCTTAAAATTGGCGCCAGAGCCCACAGAGCCCTGGTGGGAAGGCCTGCGGGCTCATTCCACCCTCTCCCCTCGGCGCAGGCGGCTCTGCACCCCGGGGCCCAGCGGGTGGAGAGAAGCCGGAGGACCTGTAGCCACCCCCGCAGCAGCAGCAGGCCAGGCTCAGAGGACTTCTTAAATATTTAATTAAAAAATTTATTATTTTTATATTATGCGTATTGCCTGCATGTGTGTAAGTACACCCATGTCATGAAATGCCCATGTAGGTAAGAAGATGGCATCGGATCCCCTGGAACTGGAGTTACAGATGATTGTTATCCACCATGCGGGTGATGGGAATGGAACCTGGGATTTGAACCCAGGTCCTCTGCAAGAGCAGTCAGTTGTCTTAACCACTGAGCCATCTCTCCAGCCCTCTAAATAGACATAGTATTAAACTGGCTCTTAACAGCTTATTGTTATACCCATAGATTAACTCATTTGTTCTTAATAATGACATATGGAACTTGGAGGAAAAAACTGTACACGTTTTGGAGTCTGGCAAATAAGAGAGCTTAAACACAACATTTTTGGTATAAGGGAGCAAAACTGAAATACAAATAGCCATGAAATAATTATTAGAGACAAATTTCTGCATTAGTTTTCCATGGCCAAGTAAAAATACTCCAACCTAAGAGCTAAAAAGAAAAAAGCATATGCATTCCCTCCCAGCTGAAGTGGGTCAGGAAAGTAGCTTGTTTGGTACCCTGGATCAGGTTGTCAGAAGACTAAGATCAAGGAGCTAGCTGGTCTTCACTCTTTTAAAAATAGCATTTATTATTTTTATTTTATGTGTATGAGTGTATTGCCTGCATGTATGTAAGTGCACCTGTGATGTGCAATGCCCGTGAAGGTCAGAAGATGGCATTGGATCCCTGAAACCGAAGTTATGGATAGTTGTTAGCCACCACGTGGGTGCTGGGAACCAAATCTAGGTCCTCTGCAAGAGCAGCCAGTGCTTTTAACCACTGAGCCATCTTTCCAGGCCATGGCCTACACTCTTAATTGAGGGAGAATATGCTTCAAATTAATTTGGATTATTGGCAGAATTGATTTGCTCATGACTATGATTGACAGGCTAATAGCTTCTAGAGAGTTCTGGCAGTCCTCCACCCTGAGGATCTTTCAGTGGGTAGTTCACAGCATCATCATTTGCTTCTTCAAGGCTGGAAGAGAATCACTTCATTGTTAGCAGGACAGAGCCCCACCCACCAGACATACATGTACACACAAGTGTGTGTAAACCTAATTACAGTGGTGACACCCCATCACCTTTGACATATTCTATCCATTGGAAGCAAGTCACAGCTCCCAGTCACAGTCAAGGAGAAATGAAGATACAGGAAATGAACAGGGGCTTATCTTAGAATTTTACCTGCTGTAGTTTACAGTCTGACTACACATTAGAACTGCCTGAGGAATTCTTTAAAATACAGTTGCCTGGAACTTACCAAAAAAATCAAGTCAGAGGGCTAGAGAGATGACTCAGTGGTTAAGAACACTGCCTTCTTCTTGCAGAAGACCCGGGTTTGAATCCAAGCACCCACATGGCAGCTAACAACTGTCTGTAACTCCAGTTCCAGGGGATCCTACAGCCTCTTCTTTCCTCTGTGGGCATTGCTCGACACAGGTGCACTTACCTACATGCAGGCAACACACACATACACATAAAAATAATAAATAAAATATTTAAAAAATCAAGTCAGAGTAAATGAAGGGCTGGATCCAGACTTGTACTTTCTTTTCTAAAACTTCCCAGGTAGCTTACTGTACAACAAATATTGTCACAAGGATCATGTGTGCCTATTGGATAATTTTGGAAGCACAGGACTCTCTTCTTTTGAGTCTAAGAATAACTGAAATTTCAGAAAAATGTAAGAACTAATCTTTTTTTTCAGAAGAAGCCATATAAATAAAAAATTGCTGAACAAATGATACATTGTCTTGTAGCTGAGTTAACACCTTTAGGAGAACTGGTGTTCTAAATCTAGATTGAACACAACAGCCTGAAGAACCTGTCGTTTGACAAGAAATACTGGGAGAGTAAAGATTAATAATGATTAGATGAACACAAGGCCCTGGGTTTGACCCCAAGCACCCAGACAAAAATAAAGCAATGAGACTCCATTCACAAAGAGAAGAGTGGCTGAGAAGTACCTTCTGGGAAAAGTTTCAGGCGCACTTAGGGGCAAAAAGCCTAGTAAGAAGGATTTCCAGGGGAATATGTAAGAACAACCAGAAAGGACAAATTAGGAAGGATCCATTGACTCCAGGAGCTATCATCTGGATCTGAATGTCCTCCAAAGGCCCACGAATTAAAGGATTTGTTCTCAACTGGTGTTATTAGGAGGTGGTGGAATTTTAGGAAGTGGGTGTAGCGGAAGGATCTTAGTTCACCCAGGGAATGCTTTGAAGGGAGTACTGGGACATTTAGGAGAGTATCCTTTTGTGTTAGCTGAAACTTTTTGGAAAATGAAGTGTTCCTGGAGCATTCATGTGCACTGTTTTAACCTTTTCAGCACGTTCTCCATGACCCTGAGTTGATTATAACCAGAAGCTTGTCCATCATCTTTTCTTCTTGAACTACAATGTAAAAAATTATTTATTATTTTTACGTGCGTGAGTATATTGCCTACATATATGTAAGTGTACCTATGTCATACAATGCCCACAGAGGTCAGAAGAGGGCATTGGTCCCCTGGAACTGGAGTCACTGATGGTTGCTAGCCACCATGTAGGTGCTAAGAATTGAACTTGGGTTCTCTGCAAGAGCAACCAGTGCTCTTAACCACTGAGCCATCGCTCCAGCTCTTTGAACTATGATCTTAAAGTGAACACATGGAGGAATGCTTCCTTATATAAATGTGCATAAGCCCCTTAAATAAAATCCCTGTGTTTCCTTTGCTCAAGGAAGGCACTGCTTTGGAAATAACTATTGTTGTGTTACCTCTCCTTCTCTATTATCTCTTGGTTATGCTTTTGCTCCCCACTTAATTTTACTAAGATGTGAATCCGCTACTTGGTTGTATTGTCACAGGGTCCAAAGTAACAGGGTCAAGTTGCCGTGGATTGAAACTTCAAAAAAAAAAATGAATCATAACCTTTAAGTTTTTTTTTAAACATGATGATTTCAATCATTTTGTTACAATAATGGAAAATGTACCAGTCTTGTAGCTGCACTTGTTTTCCATTAAGTGAAGCTTGCATATTTTGCATGATTACATCTGTACATCAATGACATTCACTGAACTATATATAGTGTCTCCATTTCCCTTGGCGAATAGAGTTCTTGACCAATGAAAGAAGAGAATATCTTGTCATACAGTGGCTCTTAAGCTGTGTTTCCAAACCTGTGTTCTTTGTTGTGTCATACCACTCTGCAGGGAGCTATAAAGTGAGGGCATGTTGGGCATAGAAGGGAGATAAGTTAAAGAGTGACAGCAAGTGCAGATATCAGTGTCAGCATGGAGGAGCATATAGCTGGTGGGACAGCTCCTGGTGGGGCTGTCCCCTCATTTCCGTGCCATTGGTAAATGTCTTCAGTACAGGGTGCAGCAGTGTTCTCCTAGTTAGGACTTGGGTTCATGGAAGAAAATGAATGAATTAATGGATTCATTTGTGGGAGAAAAGAAACTGCAGCTGCAAAGGAAAAGCAACTGAAAGATGATCCTCACATGCTTAATTAACACAGAAAATGTACCTGACAGTATGAAGCAAGCCGTCTCATTAGCAAACATCCCAGGTGAAGCAGTTAGGGACACAGCATTACCAAGTCAAGTGGGTGAAGCTGGAGAATGCAAGGCAAGAAGATCATTACTAACCATCATTATTCGATGGTTAGTAAGACGGAAGTGTTTCACCAGGAGAGGATGCTCTCTTGTACTCCAAAGTCAATACTGGGAATGATGATTTCTAGCTGAAAATTTTTGATGCACAATTTAACTTCTGATGGAGAAGACAGAGGTATGATGTTACCCAACTGCCTCATTGGCCAAAGTGCCCACTGGTAGAGGTCACTGAAGTTTGTAGCAGGTGGTGCGAGAGCTTTCATTTTGGGCCACAGATGAGATGACTCTGGCAGTGAGAAAGTTTAAAATGAACAAACTATGAACTTGCCAAACCCACTATTTCTCATAGTTCTTTGAACAAAAGCTTTTTTTCCTTTTAATGTAACACCTTGTAACTGCTAGTCCCATAGGATTCCATTCACAAAGCAGGGCGTTATTTTGAATTCATATCAAAATGTGTGAAAAATCACTCTATTAGTGCTTCTCACACCTGGCATTGAAAGACCCCTCAGGGTATCTGAGAACAAATCTGTCCCAGGGGAAGGGTGAGGACTGGGATCTGGCACACAGCTAGAGGCTATGAGTTTTGAAGTGTCAGAGATCCCTTAAGAATTCCCTGAGAATTTTCTATTCTGTTTCATAATATAAGGACTTGCATTAATATAAAAGCAAAGCTCTGCTTAGAGAATCTACCAGATTTACTGAGTTATCTCAAACCCCTACCCCATGGAGCCAACCAGGAGTCAACCAGTATTAAAACTATGAAGTCTTCTGAAAGAACAGCTCACCAACTGAGGATGTGACTCAACAGTAGAGTACGTACCTTTAAAGTGTGATACCCTCCTTTAATCTCCAGTAAAAGTAAATAATAAACAAAACAAACAAGCAACAACAAAAAACAAGGTCATAAAACAAAACAAAACAAAAAGCCCAGAGGGAAACGTCAGGTTGCTGAACTTTTCTAATGCATTGCACTAAAAGTTTCTCCACTCTGCAATAATTATCAATCTGAAAACAAGTGATTTATGTATACTTAGAAAATGTTCAAGAATAAATGTGTTTTTAAAAAGAAATCAAATTATTTTTATCAGTTGCTCCTTATTATTACTTTTCCTGCTGAAATAGAAGGTTCTTCATTCAATTTAGCAACAAGAGCAGACAGGAGAAAGTCCCGAGTTCCCTAAACTGAGGGAAGCCTCTGCTCCTACAAAGTCCTATAGATACATCTAAGAAGAAGTATTTTTCATGGCTCCAAGTCCATCAACTGATTCACAGCACTACAGTTCATACAACGGACTATTATTCGGACACATGAAGGAACGACCCTTACTAAGACATGGATAAAC